GCAAGAACTGCCTAAGAATCTCCAGGGAAGTGGGATGTCATCAGACCTTCTTACCACATTGATCGTATTGGGAAAAGTTACGCCAAACCGTCCCTCTGCCAGAAGAACACAAGAGTATGGATCGGCTAAGCTCCCAATCTGTGTTCATACGAATCCCTCACAAGATCATAAGCCACACCGCTGCTCATTTGGTTCAGTGTTTCCTCTAGAGCCTTGGAGGTGAAGACACAGATCAGAGCACAGTCATCCTTCTCTTCATAGAACCATAGCGCTAAAGAGGAATTCAAGGGCGCATTCTTCCCGTGCTTTTGAAACATGTGCAAGGGAGGCTTCTCACGACATTTTATTAATGCCAGATTTATTCCCGAGTGACCTAGAGTGTTCTCACAAACAGCCACGGACACCAGTCTAACCTTTAAAGGATAAACGGACAACCCAATTTTAAGCACTTTTGGGGGGGCGGGAGAAGTGAGAAGGAAGGGGGCAGTTCCCATTGCTATCAGCACCTCCACTTTCATTATAACACTGCTTGACAAAGTTGCCCAAATCTGCCAGGCAGACAGAAATGACAAATAAAAGTAGTCCAGCGTTTTAGCGACACCATGCTAAAAAACAGCAAATCGTGTCTAAACAGGTTTGTGAAACAAGAAACTGAGTTGGCCTTCAGGCTCGTAAGGATTTGAAAGAAAACCGAGGGAATCCATAAGAGACATAAGCTACCTAAAAGGGGGAAGTGTGCAAAAAGTAAAATCTCACACTGGTGCAAGTAACTTTAAAAGCTTCAGTGTTCGATGCATTTGATGAAAGCCGAGCATCTGAACCCCTTGTTCTCAACTCTTTGACCGACCCCCCAGCTCTGCAGTCTCCGTTTACAGAACTCTGATGGCCCGAAAGAGGTCTCTTACTGCAGGGTCAACAGTTTGGCATCCCAACCTGAACAGGGGAAACTACTGAGTACCGAATCCATTTCAAGGTGCTGGTGCTTACCTTTATAGCCCTGTATGGCCATTATTCTAATTTTGGTGGACTCTGCTATAAACTCTGCTGATTTTTTAACATTGAAAGCATTAGCTCGCTATGTATTGAGTTGTAATCGGATTTTATTGAAATCGTGGTTTTATTGTTGCTATTATTGCTAATTATGGTTTTGTCGCTGCGATTATTGCTGACTGTGGTTTTGTTATTGCTACCATATACAGAAATAAAATAAAATAAACTATAGATAACGATGCTCTTGAGGTTAATCACTTGGCAGTCCTAAACATGTACCCACACGCTTGAATGGCACACCAGGCTTCCGTACTTTGTAAGAGACGTAAGCTACCTAAAAGGGGGAAGCGTGCAAAAAATAAAATCTCACACTGGTGCAAGTAACTTTTTTTTTTAAGCGTCAGTGTTCGATGCATTTGATGAAAGCCGAGCATCTGAACCCCTTGTTCTCAACTCTTTGACCGACCCCCCAGCTCTGCAGTCTCCGTTTACAGAACTCTGATGGCCCGAAAGAGGTCTCTTACTGCAGGGTCAACAGTTTGGCATCCCAACCTGAACAGGGGAAACTACTGAGTACCGAATCCATTTCAAGGTGCTGGTGCTTACCTTTAAAGCCCTGTATGGCCACCACTCTAATTTTGGTGGACTCTGCGATAAACTCTGCTGATTTTTTAACACTGAAAGCATTAAGCTTCCTATGTTTCGAGTTGTAATCGGATTTTATTGAAATTGTGGTTTTATTGTTGCTATTATCGCTAATTGTGGTTTTGTTGTTGCGATTATTGCTGACTGTGGTTTTGTTATTGCTACCATATACAGAAATAAAATTAAAATATAGATAACGTTGCTCTTGAGGTTAATCACTTGGCAGTCCTAAACACACTTGAATGGCACACCAGGCTTCCGTACTTTCGCCCAACTGCCACCCAAGCACCCAAAGCAACTAGAGCACTAGGAGCACGTGACTTGTGGGTGGTAAATTCTTTGATTCCTTCAGGCTCTCCCTTAAATGTAGGGGGATGTTGGCCTAAACTCCAAGCATTTTTAAGAGGAAGTGCAAAATGCTGCATGCGTTGCCCAAACTATGCATCAGCTCCGGACGCTTAGTAATACTCATATGATACAAAGAATGCATCTATCACCCCCCACACACACGCATGTGCACACACTGGGCAAAATAGTGTGGCCAACAGTGCTGAAGAAGCAGTTTGTTCAGAAGGCTGGGATACCAAAGCCCAAATAAAAATAAAAAAGGGAGGTTAAAGAGGGAGACTTCAGCTTCCAAGAAATGAGCACGACACAAGGTTTTTATAAATCATCGAACGAATACCTCTGATGCCGCTCCTACTGTTTGTTCTCTTTCCTTTTAATCTCTGCTGCTACTTATGGCTCCTCCTTTCGTCTGATGGGCAAGAAATACTTCTCCGGCTAGTGATGAACAGTGGAAGACATACACCACAGGGGGAGAACCTTGTTCATGCTGGGTTCCTAATTGCATCACTTTCCCTAGTAGGGAAGAAGTCAAAGGAGATGTGAAATGCACTGGACCACATTTCCATCAGCTTCTAATAAGTCAATGGCTAAAAACTTTTGCATTGTTTCTCATTTCTAAAATTCATATACTAATTTTTGATTAATTACAGACTATTAAAAAAACCCACTCCCGACACAGGAGGAAAAGCGTGTCACTCATAACAATGCACTATGTAAAATGACAAGAGGTTAAAATGTGGAATTTGCTGCCAGAGGATGTAGTGATGGCCACAGGCAGACACCTTTAAAAGGGGATTAGACAGATTCATGGAGAAGCGGTCTATCAGCGGCTACTAGCCCTGGTGACTAAAGAGAACCTCCACAATCAGAGGCAGCCAACCTTTGACATCCCAAAGCCAGAAGGCAACATCAGAGGAAGGGCTTGGCCTCTCTGCCTTGTTGTTGGCCCTCCAGAGGAACTGGTTGACCACTGTGTGAGACAGGATGCTGGACTAGATGGACTATTGGTTTGGTCCAGCAGGGCTCTTCATATGTTCTAATGAAAGCCTTGGCCTCTATGCCCTGTTGGTGGACCTCCAGAGGAACTGGATTGGCCATCTAGGTTTGGACTGAAGCACTATGGAACACTGCTAAACCAATTTGACCAGGGCTACAGCAAATCCCTAAGTTAGTGTACACTAATGGGGGCTGAATTTTTTGACAAGCACGTCGCAACTCAAGTCCCATGCACTGCTCTATAGATGCAACCCCAACTGCTTCCCATATGTTCAGTCACATAAGTGGCGGAGTGTGCAAGAAAATAGTAGGGGCGCACACCTGAGACTCTGCCACAGCTATGCCTTCCTGCTTCTGTCCAGGTGTGCTAAACGTTTTGCACTGTCTATGCCACAGACTGGCTATGCAACCATCC